AATCTTCACTCAAACTCAAAAATTTTGATTTTCATAAAACTTTACACATGAAAATTATTCGAAATCAGTCAAACAATGTTTCATAAAAATGTTTCATGGGACATTAGATTAAAAAACCTTTATTTAACCATATTAATATAATTTTGAAAAAAATTATTTTTTTCAAAATCTTTTCAGGCATTATTTTTTTATTTTTATTAACGTGGTTAAATATTTATTATCAAACCATACGATTGTTTATTTATCATTGGACATTTAAGGATGTTTTTTGTGCCTATTTTCAAAATATTGAGAATTTAATGAAAATTGTACAGAATGTCCTTACATATGTTTAGAATCTTCGGTACAATTTTTAAATCGATTCACTAAAGTGTTCACAAGTTATAAGGATTTTAATTTGCACCGAAATAACATGGGAAACGTATAATCACATCGATCAAATGACAAAAACACATGGAAATAATATTCAGAATTTGTTTAAAATTTGCAAAAATTTAGATACAGAGGAAATATTTGATCAAATAATATTATACAAGTACTAACTGGTTAAAAAGATATTAAATATAATTGAATGAAGCTAGCCATGTATCTGTCAGAAGGCGAAATTCTCTGCTAAAAGTGAATCATTTCAATTAACAAAATTTGGAATATTTCAATAAAAACGCAATAAATATTAAAAAATACATCTCTGCACTGTATCTGTCACAAGGCGAAATTCTCTGCCAAAAGTGAATCATTTCGATTAACAAAATTTGGAATATTTTAATAAAAACGCAATAAACATTAAAAAATACATCTCTGCGCTGTAGCTAAGACACACAATTTCTTACTCAAAATACACTAAAAGTAGATATTCATGAATATTGATTTTCAGCTACTTTTTACTGAGATTGTCCATACAAAACATCCTTAAAATTAATGATTTCCAAGAAAAAGATACGAAGAACGTTATCTATTTTATTTCCAAAAATTACAAAAATCTCGACATTTTAATAATTTTCAAGCATGTCCACCCCCTCCCTCAACTTTTCCATTCATCTTGCATCACTTGTTGCGTCTTCCTTATTTGAAGCGAACAATTATTCCGTGAGGAAATCAAAGGAGGGAACGATAATGATTAGATTTACGAGGGCGATAAACGTCGTTGCTCTGAGTGGCCGTATGGCGCAGTTGTCAGGACATCCCTAATAAGACGAGCGCATCCGGCGTATGCGTCGCTCCCGGACTGTATGCAAGCTTTTACCGCGACGATTCCACCGTGAATACAAGCAATGAATGCAGCCGTGATAACCGCACCGCCGTCGCCCTTATCTCTGCACCTGTAATCCTGCCTGTGTCACTGTAAAGCTCGCAGGACGACGCGATAAAGTGCGCTGCATTGCAGTCGTACTCGGCAATGCTGAGCGCATCATTGTGCTACTTTATCCCAACGTTAACCCTGCCGCATACTCTTCTTTCTGTTTCCCCATTTGCTATTTCTCTTTCTGACATAAAGCTCGTTTTTCTCCTTTTTTTTTTTTTTTTTTTGGTCTGCGTAATAATTTTGCGGAAACGAAATATTCTCCGGGAGACGATTAAATATGGAAAAATTACAAAGCTTTCATTTTGAAGTAATTTTCTTTCCGGCTGATAAATATTGCGATGGCCAGACTCTATTTTGATAACGTAAAATTTGAAATTTTCCGGGAAACAAGTGTTTTTTATATTTTTATATCGATGCTTTGTCGGCAGGGGAATAATTTATCTGAAAAATTTAATCGATTTTCTTTTTTCCTCTCACCTCTCTCTTTCTCTAGAATCCTTTCAGTGCGGGATATCAAATATTGTGGTAATGGAAGTTTCAATTTAGCAAAATTTAACGATATTTATTTAATCTCTTGACATTTAATTGGCAAAAAACCGAGAATTTATTTTCTATTTTTTATTTTCTCGAGAATTTTTTTCGATTTAGGATATCGAATATCCTGCGCGGGAATGGAGGAGAGAGGCGAAATTGAATTTTGATAACGTAAAGTCAATCTGGATCTCTCAGCTTGGCGAAAGATAAAGTTTTGATTCATGCATGATGAATGCACAATCTGTTTTCCCCTCTGGCTAGCGGCATTTACCAGCCGGAGGGCTGGAAAGGATTAAAGGAAGGGTTCCTAAGAAGGCGGATGCAATATCGAGTTTGTAAAATAAAGCGATCTAACGGGAACGCAGGTACTTCTCGTTTACCATCCAGCGATATCAAACTACGGAGCACCGCTTTATGAATATGTAAAGTCCGTTAGAGGCGCCCCGGCAAATTGTTTGCGGATCGCATCAAATATTGACAGGGCGCTTGTAAATTTATTCACGGCCGAAATAATGTATCGCGGCCGCGAGACGAGTTGAGGTCCCGATTTTCTCTTCCACGGGAAATGAGATTCTTGCTCCCTCCCCCACTCTCTCTCTCTCTCTCTCTTTCTCTTGTTGCAAAAAACAAAGTTGCACAATTGCGAAATCCCTCGATACCTCGAAATTTGAATTTCTCGGAAATTTTTGATATCGGAAAGTGGCTTTTTTTCTTTTTTTAGATTATTTTTTCCCATCGAATTCCAATATCTACATCCTTGAATATTGTAAATTCGAGATTCTCCGCTTTTCAAATCTGCTTTCCACAAATTCTAAAGTCGAATTATCGAGCTCTCCTTCGCATTTTTAAAGAAATTTTTGTAGCATTTTTGCGCATAATAATAATTATAATCTTTCATAACTTTACATGTATAATATATGTACAAAATAAAACGTAAACAAAATTTCTCTCATTTTCGTTATTTTACAACGTAATTTCTATAAAATGATTTTATAATTTATAACTATTTTATTTCTGACGCTTCAATTTTCTCTGAAAATAATAAATGATTGCACGCACTTTGATAAAGACCTATCGTATATCCATACAATTTCATTGATAAAAGTTAATTAATTATTAATAATTATTAATAATTAATTATAATAATAATACTAACAAATTATTTCCCGATATTCATCATAATTGCGTTTAGAAAAGGAATTTGATAATATATGGAATATCTTGCTCACTACTCTTTTACTATTCGAGTGTAAATGACAATTATTAACAAGGTCGTGGCATATAAACAATTACGCCGTCAAAACATATCATTGTTGTATGTAACAATAACATGCCGTTATTATTGTTCATTCTCCTTGTCGAAATATTTTACACATATGTTACAAAACATATCTACTACAAGTTTTCAAATTATTAATTTATTTTTCGTTATAACTTAATTCTTATAATTTCAAATTATTTACTCACTATAAATAACATTACTTATTAATTAATTTATTAATATTATTTCGGCCGTGAATAAACTTATTAATTATTTATTAATTTATTAATTAATTATTTATTAAACGATTATTAGGCTACTTGTGTCTTAATTCGAATAGAAAATTATTTCGGGAAGACATGTCTTTTCTTGAATTTTTTAATTGTAGTTTATTACATGATATATGACGTAAGAAAATAAATGGCGCGCACTTAATGTAATATTCTAGTAATAAAAAAAAACTATTTTAAATAAAAATCGGGAAAGAATGACGAAAAACCGGCCAGTTTTCGTGCTTTATTACAGGATGTGTACGCACAATTACCGGCGGAATTCTCCCGCGAGTTCCTAGTCGTGCAAAACGGGTTTTAGCGAACAACACGCGTCCGGGGACGTGTATTTTCGGACAATCGGCGGAGTCGCCAATTAGGAAGCGCATGAGGAAACTACAAGGACGATAATGAAAATAATAATTAGCCGGCGCGGTTGCGGTCCATTAATTGATTTTGCCGCCGAATCGTCATTGTTCTCGACGGTCACTTAATTAACATGACCGGCCAATCAAGCGACCGTTTACTCCCCTAATCGCATCGGTGCCATTTATTTTCCGGCCCGCGTTTATTCTTGCAACAGCAACTGTCAAATTAAGCGCAAATTCATTTTCCACGCATTATTAGAAAAACTTTTTCCCGACGTCGCCAATTTAAATTATATACGCTTCCTTTTAGAAATTAAAAAAAAATAAATATTTTAATTGGAATAAAGTTTTTAGTACAATTTGATTTTTTTCAAACTTAATTTAATAAATAAAAAACCTTTCTAACAATATTAAATAATTTATTTTTAATATAGAAAACCCGCGCAAACTTTATTCTTAATAATTATGATAAAATAAGGAGGAATCTCGGGATTCTGCGAATAGTTTCAGCGAGGATTAGTTGTAAACCGATCGATGGGACTCGTCGTACGGTCGCATTTCACGAGGGCTGAGGGAAGGGCTGGAAGGCTGCAGAAGGCAACAGGATGATCGTGATGCGGGCTGTTATCGCGAGGATGGCGATGCGTGATTTGTTGAATTATGGCCGGTACTCGGTCTGGCCGCAGCGATCGCACACCCTCGCGTGTTCACCCTTCCGGCATTACCATGTTAAATCAGATTGACGCACCCCTTTCGTGTGTGCGAGCCACCGCCGCTTGTTTTAATTACCCTAAGAGCGATAGGCGACACGTCCCCCGACACGCATGCTTGTTCATAACTCGAACATAACTCGAATATGAGCTACCAAAGGATCCTTCCTTATCACTCACGATAATAATAATTACAATTAATTTCGTTAAATTTAATTAACAATTAAATATGCAATATATTTGCTTGCATCGTTGAAGAATGAGAATTTTTCGGACCATTTTTTTCCCTTGATTATTAAACGTGATATTTTCTAAGCTGAAATTTCCAATTTTTAGATGCGTAATAATTTATTCAGTCTCAGAAAATGTAACCACTGGATATCTAGTCGGTGCGGTTTTTTTTTTACCTTCTCAGGACATGGTAATACTTTATCGAACTGTCAAAACTTCCTTAGAAGCTCGCGAGACTGAAAAATGACCTTTTAAGGATGCGCGATGCGACCTATCAGATGTCGAGAGTTTCGATCGATCACAGGATAATTTTATTGATTACAGCCGGCGCGAGGGACGGCGGGGGCAGAAGGTACCCCGTGATTGTGTTCGTGCACGGGGAGAGCTACGAGTGGAGCAGCGGAAATCCTTACGACGGCAGCGTCCTGGCGAGCTACGGTGGCGTCGTCGTTGTCACCATCAACTATAGACTCGGCATCCTAGGTAAGTCATGACAGATTTCTTTCGTTCCCGATTTCGCCTGACCCGGAATCTCCTTCTCAGTTCCTGGAATCCCGGATTTCCAGGAGAGACCTTCTGTTTTTTTAGATTATTTTCCTCTAAGTCCAGGAAGATTCCCGGATTTCCGAAGCTTTGGCTGCGCGTGCATTTTGAAAATTGAAGATATTCTTCAAATAAATTCAAGATATTCTTCTCTATAATTTTCGGTAAACATCCCGCCTCTTTATATTTCTAAAAATTATGCAAATTTTTTGAAATTTTTTGGTATCAATTAATCTAACGGGACTTTTCAATTATTTTAATTTCTAATAAATAGGAAAAAGGATAGAGAAGAAGAGAAAGATAGAAATTCTAATTCTTTTCAAGAATTTGCACTTGTTCCCAGATTTCCAATCTTTCAGTTCTTAATTTCTGTCCTTTCTCTGCATCCCTTCTACGTGAAATCAATGATGAACGTCGTTTGTCGAGTCAGATGTAACTTTCGTGAACTGTTCGAAACTCAGATAAATTACATATGTTAGTTGCCCGCTTAATGGCGTGAAACACTGGCTCACGGCAGTTAAGGCTTGAAACGAGCCAGTCGACCGTAGCTCATTAGCTATTTAGGGCCGGTCACTTACCGCCAAGTGTGTTTACTCAATTTTCCTGCTCTATCTAGAGGCAGCATCCGGTCTAGAAGCCAAGGGATCGCGAAAGGGACGATCGGGTGCAGGTATTTGTGCAACCGCGACTCTTGGTTGACCGATTCGAAATGCCCGATTCACCTCGCTCGCGATGCCATTAGACGCGACTTGTTACGATTCGTGACGTTTGACGTATGACGCTCGTCCACGAGAATAAGAAGTCGCGGAAAAAGCTTAGAAGCGATAAGTTTTGGCCGCGAAAGCCACAGGGATTGCAAGTTCCGGTGAGACCCAGCTTGTTGCCTGGCAACCCGGGCAACCAAATCTAATAGGAAACTCATTACGGCCAGGTCTTCCGTTTCACCAAACTAAATTCTTGACTCCACCCGCTTCCTCTTCCCCCTTCTCTCTCTCTCTCTTTTTCTACTCTTCGATACGATGGTAATCCCAGCTGTTTTCGTCCATCATTCTCACCCCATTCTGGGTGTCTTAATATCATCTAATCCTAAAACAAGAAGAAACATGAAAAACACCGATCAAAAAATTAAAGCAAGTTTTCAAGAAGGTTGGTGTCTAGATTAGAGTATATGGGATGTTTCTTAATAAGTGCGAAACATTTTAGGAGATGATTCTTTGTCGAAAATTAAGGGGAGTTTTTCACATAAACATTAAAAAGTTTCAATAACAAATTAAATAGGGATTGCTAGTTTCATCCCTTTATAACAATACGGAAGGCTGAAAAAAGTATTAATAAATAACCTTTTTACTAGTGGAAAATATCGATTTAATTTCATTTCTTTAACTTGTTCCAAATTTGAGAAAAAAATAAAAATCTAATTTTCAGAAGATTTCCCATTTTTGGAGGAGTATAACTCCACAGGGAGGGATGTAGGAGTATATGTTTATATAAAAAATCCCCTTAATTTTCGACAAAGAATCATCTCCTAAAATTTTTCGTGCTTATTAAGAAACACCCTTATTATTGGGAATATTATTATATAATATTATTATACACAATTATTATATAAATAATATATTATTAGGAACACTTGTGGTTATCGGACAAAATTTGTTGTGTTAATATTAGATTAAATTAATAGACTAGATTAAATAAAAGAAGATCAAATTCTTCGCGCCACTTAATCGAACAATCAATACAGAAGAGCGATAAGAGGACGCGCGAAGGGAGCCCTTTCCTCATCGAATCCGAAGATGGCACGTGAGACGACAACGAACGATAAATTCAAATTCGAGGATTCGATAACGCACGGACCGAAGAGCAAAAAGAGCCGCGAGGGAAAAAAAAAAAACAGCAACGGACTAGTAACCCGATAAAATGGCGACGCGCAGGAAATTCTACTCTGCGGCGGTGGTCGCCATTTCCTCCCCTCCCCCCCTCCTCCACCCACTGTCTCGCGCGCCCCCCCTGCGTTTTTTTCTCCCTCTCATCCTCCCATTTTCCTTCGTTTCGGAAAAATGATGCGACGCTTTGTGAGCACCGCACCGACCGGCGATATCCACCACCGCCCCCTCCCCCATCCTCCCCCTCGTCGCGTGTGTATACCAGCGTGTACCGGAAAATTTAAATCAACGAATAGCGTTCAGCAGTTCCATTGTAACGAGAAGAATAGGAGACGCGGAAGCGCGATGCGACAGATACGCCGGAGGTTGAATATCAAATGGGACATGACCGGTGCTTTATTTCTATTCCGCTTTTCGTGTTCGCACCTCTCTTCCCGTGCGTGTGAACGCGCGAAAAAGCTTTGTGCGTTTTTCCCTCCCCTTCCTCCCTCTCCTGCCGCCTCCCCGTCTTCCCGTCTTTCGACGTAAAAAAAAAACGTCGTTATTGGATCGGATCCCAGCCGATGGCTGGAGGGCGAGACGTGAAAACGTCGTAAGACGGGAAAGAGATTGTAACGTCGTATGGGAAGAGATGCAAACGTCGTATTGCGCCGAGAGATCTCGGAAGAATTTAATCCTGCAGGAATCCCATGTTGCGAAAATCCCAGGAAACATTTGGTACCCAAGGTACGAACGGTCCCCATCGACGATCCGCGCGATATAACGATGATCGGATCGCGTCAATAATGGAAACGTCCGATTACATATATACTTTTCTCGCGTATATACAAAGAGAATTTTTATTTATTTATTTTCGTTTTATTTTCTAAATTGTATAAAAAGAAAATAAATGTAACAATCATTCTTCTTATCAAAATATCTCGATTTTATCGGAAAATTTAAGTCGAAGGAGGAAATATAGAAAACCTTTCAGGAAAACAATTATGATAGTAATTCAACTTGAACGGAGAGTCTAAAAAAATTTTAAAAATATGTAGAAAAAATACAAGCAATCCGTAAAATAATTTAATGAAATTTTTTTTCGCAAAATGAAACAAACATTTTCCTCATAAACACCTCGAAAAATAACACAGGCCTGCGAGGTTTTTCTTTTTAAGATGCAATAGTGATTTCCGACGTAATTTTGTGAGCTGAATTCGAATCTGGCCGCCGAATTTGCGTAGCACGTCACGTTTTTTGAGTAATTTGTAATTGAATGGCTTAAAAATCGCTATTTTTGGCCAATTTCATGAATTTATTGCGAGGAAATCAAATTTTTTGAAATATTTCTGCCAATGGCATCGTATAATACTCACTTTCGCCTTTCAAATCCACTTTCGATTACCGCCGCACGATTTTTCTTCGCTGAGATAAGTATGACGTTGTAAGAAAATTTACGTTAAAGAAAATTTATATAGACATCAATATGGTATATCCATGATGTTGAAAGTTGAAAAGACTGACATATGTCAGGTTCGGTTATCCAAAAAAGTATTGTAAAGAAATATCTAATACAGTTGTTACACATTTTGATAAATTTTTCTAAATTTTATGCCTTTTTATTGTGATTCTATTCGCCATATTGGATGCGCCATTTTTAATTTCAAAAGGTGACAGAAGGTTTAAAAATGTATATTTTTATCCTAATTTTGATTCGTAGTGAAATAAAGAGGTGGCACGGTTGATTTAGAATGGCTTATTAGATCCCTATGCATGACCAGTCTTATGACTTGTATATCTAAGCGAAAAAAAATCGTGCGGCGGTAATCGAAAGTGGATTCGAAAGATGAAGGTGAGTACTATACGATGCCATTGACAGAAATATTTCAAAAAATTTGGTTTACTCACAATAAATTCATGAAATTGGCCAAAATAGCGATTTTTGGGCTATTCAACTACAAATAACTCAAAAACCTGACGTGCTACGCAAATTCGGCGGCCAGATTCGGATTCAGCGCACAAAATTACGTCAAAAATCACTATTGCATCTTAAAAAGAAATTTTGACCCCCTTTTTTGCAGGCCTGTATAATAGGATACACAAGGATCCTACACAATTCTATTGGAAAACGAATTTGCAAAATCCCAAGGTGCTGAAGAAAGACGGATGTCTCCCTGCCCAGCAATTCGATAAGACGGATGTTTATTAAACAATCCGCAAGAGCCGTCTAATACCATCTGATCCTGTGAGGCTCTCTAGACGAACCTATCTAATCCCGCGAGGACTTTACAAAAGGGAAGACCGGCCGTTTTTCCACTCGGCACGGCTTTCCAAATTATCGATTTGGCAAGGCCAGCGGAAAACAGTCGGCGCAACATCGTTGACCTAGATCCTGACGACAGTAACGCCTCCCTTGTTAAGGCGCCGAGTGCCCTAAAGTTAATGCGCAAGGACTCGTAATAGAAATGATCCTCTTAGCCGCCTCGAGAAACAACCCTCACGTACGTCGGCGGGTAAATATGACGGATAATTTAATGGCGCCGCGTTTCGCGAGGCAAACACCCCCGCTGAACCGAACGGTCGACTCTTACTCCTGGAAATATCACGTCCGAGTGGCTTGCCAGTAGCAACAATCGTCGCTCGCAATCTAATTCCGGTCGAACGAAAGGAAGGAAAAGGCGGAAACCATCCCCCATCTCCACCCCCGCCTCCTCCTTCAGAAGGGTCGACCTGCCTCAATTAACGCTAATCTAATTTCCTCCTCTCTATCTGTATTAAAAGAGACTGGAACTAATTGACTACATGGATAGCTGACACCGCTGATAATTCCCGGTTCCGCGAGATGCAATTAGGAAATTGCTTGACGGATAATTGTTCGCGAAAAATTTATTTTTGCTTTTTTTCCTCCATGATATAATTTGCCATCGAATTCATTCCCCAATCGTAATTAAGGATTGCTCGGATAGAGATTAATTCATTATCCTCGAATCGCGCTGACGTAATTTCCCTCGCGTCCGCGCCTTCGTTTTCGACAACCTGACCTATCCCGACCTAACCGTCCCGGACGGAATAAATAGAGCGATAAACATAAGGCAAATCTTGGACATCTGGCAGATTTACGAATCCGGATTTATTCGGCGGAAGCGGAAGGGAACGAATAAAGTCAGGCCGTTGACGAATGTGCATTTCGACGAGGGCAAAGTCGAACGATTTGTGTATCGTGACAATCGTGCCCGCATCCGACAACCCGGGTAAGACTGTTGCCACTGGCGCCATCCGGCCGTCATAAATATCGCCTCGACTCCGCCAATTGATAACGATATCTCGTTCGGCGAAACGATACGCAAAGTAGGACGTGATACGTGTCTGAAACACTAAATCATACCGCTCGCCCGCCCCAGACGGGCCAATCTCCACATTCTCCCCGGCCATTTAATCCCCTTCACGCAGAAGGGACGCGACGTTAACGGTGGCCGGACAGGACAAAATCCAGCTCAAATAATTTCGGACAACCGAATGGACGTCGCGCAAAAATCGACTTTCGCCTCTCGAACGGGATAATTGCGCAAATTAAATTTTATGACGTCGAATGAAGATTTTTTTCATCAGAGAAAAATACAAAATGATCATCGCTAATTACGCTCGATAATTAAAAAAATGTTCTGTACATTTCTAACATTCGTATTCATATTAATTTCATTTATTCAATTAAGTTTTGTACTGTCCAATGACGGTCGTCCTTTTTAGAAAGATATTTTTCAAATTAAACAAAAATAAAAACCATTTTAAAAGACATCTTTAGAATAATTGTGTACGTATCATTAGAGCAATTAATTAAATTCGAATATATAATTGAGCTTTAAGCTGTCGAATGACAGTCAGCCTCTTTAAAGGTTTCCTTCATGAGAGAAAAATAAAAAAGGGATCATCGCTAATCACACATTAACAGCGTTAATTAAAACAATTTTCCGAATATTTTTCAACATTCGAAAAAATATTTCTACACAATTAATAAAGGATAATTACATACGTATTACCAGAATAATTAATTAGACCCGAGTATATAATATAAATAAGTTATATAATCATGCTGTCGAATAATAATTAACCCTTCTCTAAAAATGTTTTCGTTAAATAACAAAAAAATAGCTACATAATTAAATACAATACTAATTAAACACACATTGGTACTAATTAAACTAATGTTCTGCATATTTCTAACATTCGGAAAGACATTTTTACATAATTAACAGAGGCTCGGTGTAACTGTAGCATGGCAATTAATTATAGCAATTAATTAAACTCAAATACATAAGCAATCAAATATCATAATTGTTATACGTCCTATAGATTTATCTGGCTTTCATAGAGTTATCCTTTTTTATTTTTCTACACGATACCCAGTGTATCTCGCAATTTATCTCGCTTGTCGCCCGATGGCCCGCGACACGGGACGACTGGAATTAGCACTATCGGCGGTAATTCCGGCACGATCACGATGCGATGTTATACTAGCCATGACCGCGACGATAATGGACCATCGCGGGCTAACCATATAAGCGGGGCTTGTTTTGATTGCAGGCTTTCTAAACGCCAACACCGACTCGCACTTACGCTCGCCGGCGAATTACGGCCTGATGGACCAAATCGCGGCGTTACACTGGGTGCAGGAGAACATCGCTTATTTCGGGGGCGATCCCAAAAACGTCACGCTCGTGGGACACGGCACCGGAGCTGCCTGCGTGAACTTCCTGATGACCAGCCACGCGGTGCCCGATGGTGAGCCACCCCCCTTCTCCCTCCAACCCTCGCAATGTGTATTATTTTTTCATTTATATATTATATTCATTTATATATTATATTCATTTATATATTTATATCGTTCACATTTAACAATTTTTACCTTTTTAGATAATTATTTAAAAATTGTAATTATAAAATAGATTGGACATTCTTTTAATTAATTGTAATCCTTCTTTATTGATTATAATTATTTAAAAGAATTTTCAATCTATCTTATAATTAAAATTGGTCAATTTTTAAATAATTATATATAAATTAATTATTATATATGAATTAATATATAAATAATTATATATAAATTAATTATAATCCTTTCTTATTGAAAAGGATTATAATTAATTAAAAGAATTTTCAATCTATCTTATAATTACAATTGATCAATTTTTAAATAATTATCCAAAGAAGTAAAAATTGTCGCGTCAAATTACATAAATTAAGGATATAAATATAAATTAAAAAATAATAAGATATTACGTAATTTTATTCAAGAGTCAAAATACACGTTCGGAGATGTATTCTGAGGTGCTTTATAGAGAAGTAATCCTAGCAACAGTTTATTGTCTTGGATCAAGCCATGGAGAATTGTTCCTCTTGTCGCGTTACGACATGGAAACAGATAACGTCACGCAGAAACGACGAGGCGAAACGGGGTGGGACGGAAAGGGGTGAGAAAGGGGCGCAGGTCGAAGAGCGAGAAGCCGCACGAGACAATGATACGGAGGAGCTAGGAATAATGGGCTGGTTTACCAGACGCCATAAATTACGAGGGAATCAGCTGGCCCGACCACCATTGACAACTCGCAGCTGTAGTGAATTATCATCCACAAGGTCCCGGCGATAAGCACTGCGGTTCCGAAACAGATTGCGACATTTCGTTTTTTGTCGCCCTGATAAAAGCACGCCCGTGTGACTCATCGAAGAATACGACGAAGAATAATGGCGCGCGATTTCCGACCAAAAAATTATACCGTCCCCTCTTCTCTACCGCCCCCTCTCGTCCCTTTATCCTGTTTTCGCGCGTGAGAATCGACCGCGATACAACGCGATAAATAATACGAAATAATAAAGTTAAAGTACTGAACAAATAAGTAATTCCCTCGCATGTATTTATAATAACTTTATATAATTAAGAATTAAATATAAATAATGCTTAACTTAATTATATATAACAATTTGATCTGAAAATAATTCTTCTTGATAATCCTTTAGCTTTAGATTGTATAAATAATTGGAATAATTTTTGTTTTATAACATTTCTTTAATTAATTTACATTTTTTTTAAACTTATTGAATGTTTAATTTATTCTAAAAAAATTTTGTTTTTAATTTTCCCTTTCAGAAAAATATTTATACAATCTGTAGAATGTCAAGAGTTTAAAATGTTTCAAACGCTTGGGATATAGTTTTTCATAGAACTTTTTTAAATTTAAATCCTTTTTAATTCTACCATTATCACTTAATCATTAAGTATACATTTTAATTATTTTTTATATCCTGGATCGCGATTATTTTCAGATTAAAAATTTTAAATTTCTTTGTTTTACGGTCTTCTTGCGCCTTGAATACTTTATACGCTTGAGTCTTTGATTCTTGGCTTATTTAAATTCCGATTTTTCGATTTCTCGATTACTCGAATTCTGCATCTTGAATCTTCAAGTTTCTCAGTTCTTTGTGGACCTCCCCGCGAAAGTTTTTTTTCTTTTAAATTTCAATGTTCTCTTCTTGATACCTCGCTTCCTTTGAACCCTGCACCTTTAATTCGTCGGACGCTTGGCTCCTGGGATCCTGTTCCTTCGAAGGAATTAATTAATCCTCGGGTATTATAGAGGACTGCCATTAAATCCAAGTAACGCGATGGAATTTGAGCCGGCGATAATCCTTTAATAGTCCTTTAATGTCGCGAGCTTCGACACCGTCTTATCGTTCGGTGTCGTCCTCTCGACGACGACGGATATCAGAAGAACGGGGCCATCTTGATTCCGTAATGTCGGAAATACGTCGAGGACGCTGTCCCTCGGGATATTCAGAGTTTACTCCGATATCTCCTTAGCTAAATGAATGAGATCCAATCGGATATCGACATGTATCGGGTGGATAAGATCGCTCTGGAGGACACATTTCACGTTGAATATTCAGATTCGGACCGACCGACCAAATTGGGATTACGCGTGGAAGAGAACGTCGCTTGTCACTTTTAGTTTACTAAACTTTCCTCCGCATGCTTCGTGTATTTCTCGAATTCTGCCAGGACTCTCTCCGCAATTTGGTAGATACCGAAATTTAAAGCTTATTTCCGTCCGCACAAATTAACAAATAATTATGCATAATGTTATGTATAAATATAACGTATTAATAATCATGTTCAAATAATCGCAATGAAAAAATCTCAAAAAAGATTTAAAGAATAAAATAATAAAATAATCGAGGAATATCTTCCATTAATTATACATAATTAATAATATTTATATAACATTTATATAATATTTATATAATTTTATATAATATTTACATAATATTTTTATATAATATTTATATTTATTATAATATATGAGGAAATTTTCTCTGCTCTCTTTAGTTTACATAGAGAAATTTTACCTAACATCTCTCGCGGAAGGAACCTTGTATCTTTAAGATATCAAGATTAACGACTCGCAGGATTGGGATTAAGCAACTTATCCCGATCCTCCGTATTAAATAATAGACTAAGTAACAGGACGGAGCCTGCAACACATCGTGTTAGCCCTGCTGCCTTAATTTTCTTCGCGCTGCGAGGGCCATGCACTCTCTTGTCTATTCATCTCTTACGTAATGTCCAATTTTCCGACGCGTGATGAGAAAATTAATCGCTAATAAGCTCCAGTCCAAGGCCAACTCTTTGGGGCTGTCCCGAGACGATACATATTTTATTATTATTACCGAGAAAAGAAACGTTTCTCTCATTGTTCTTTACTTCCTTTAAGAAAGTAGAAACTCTTAATTAAATGGAAAAGTGCTTTTTAGCAGTTCCTTCCTGAGAAATGAATAAGGCTGCATTCAGTTAATTATTAATTTTCTCCTTCATCTTTTTAATTACTCGATAATAATATGACGTGAATAATAACGCGCGCGCTTAAACATTACAACATTGTGCATCGTATTAATCAAATCTTCTCTCACACTTACAGAAGTAATGCTGTGATGTGAAAAATAATTAAATCGCTTAATTATTATAAATTAGCGTAGCTTATAATATTCCTTGCAAAAATCTCTTCGTTTGCACTTTATTGCAATATTGCGAGAGAAGCATCCGGTGAATAGTCTTTTTTTTTTCTAATACATTCCGTGTACACTTGCTTTTTTTATTCGGTGCGTCTTCTTGGTTCTCATCTTTAGAACGGAAATCGCTGATAACATCGTAATGGAAATCGTTGATTGGAAATAAATCTATCGAGCGATCGAGATGAGAGTATTCGCGTTACTATGCATTGAAACGCGGATTGTGTTTCGTTTACTCAGGTAATATCGTAGTTCGGCTCGCGAAGGGAATCGACCTCGAAATCATCTCGAAATTCAATTCTGCGCGTCGCGATATATAATCTCACCCTCTCCTCGCTTCCCGCGCGAACAAACACTTTTGCATTACGAGATATGATTTGCGAATCCCGAGATAAAGCCCGAGGTCCTTTCGAAGAGGCGCTAGAATTCCGGAGAGAAATCGCGCCTCGCGAATGCGATGATCCTAGAGGATATACAAATTTTCAAGAAGAATGGGACCAAAAATACGCGAGGGATGCGAAGCTGTAACTAAGGAAGGAGAGCTCTCTTTTCATCGATATTTAATCACACGTCTATTTAAGTTTACGTTCGAGCAAGATAAAAATCCCCCTTTGTAGGATATTTTTTAATGGCGGATTCGCCTGTCCTCTATCATTATCGTTATCAAAGGGACCGATAAATTATACGCTTAAATTCGTGAGGTAAAAGTCAGGCCGAGATCCGGGCGCTTTTGAGGCTTGTAACGAGCAAGCTCGCAAAGCTCGCAAACTGTATCTGTTATTAACAGCGGCGGACTCGATTGCAGGTCTGCTGTTCCATCGAGGCGTCCTGATGTCAGGCAGCGCACTTTCACCCTGGGCGTTAGTGAGAGGCGCCGCCAATTACGCCATGCAGGTCGCCAAACACCTAAATTGTTCGTCGGTGAGTACCAGCAAACATGTCCACCCGATCGCCCCGAAATTATCCGGCGCGTCAGACGGTAATTTCATTAAATCCCCCTCAACCACCCCCTTTCTCGTCGGTCCTTCCGACCCGACGAAAAGTACGAAACGTACGTCTCTCTATTAAACATCATCAGAATTTAGTAATGCGAAAACTCAGATTATCGCCGGGCACAATTTCGTCGGGAATTAAATTTTGACGATGATTAATTAACATCGACAAACGGAGAGGGCTTTTAAATTAAACTCGAGGGAAGAGGTATTGAATCAAATGTTCAACAAATATTTTAGTCGACGGTAAATCGAGGGGAGCGAGACTTTGGAAAAATTTTGGAAAATTTCAAAGCTCCAACTTTGCGAAGGCATCGATGAATCCGGCATTAAATTTTCAAACGCGTTCTGTATATTTCAGTTCACAAAATGGGACCGATCGACGAGACGCGTACCCGTTATATTTCATCGCGTCCGCACTCTCCCCCCCCCCTCCTCTCTCTCTATCTCTCGGCGTTAATTCTTATTCGCTCGTTTTCGAGCATAATTCACAATAATGCCGATCGGCGGTGAAATAACCGCGGACGGACATAAATTAAAATATCAAATGCGCGAATAACTCGGCGTATCCGTGTTTTTACAGCGTTAATTACGCAACAGCAATTATATTAACGGGGCGTTTCAATTAAGCTAATATACACCCGAGACATACATTGGCCCCAATAGGCGAGCGCGCATTTTCAATAGGGAGAGCTAAAGCTAAATTTCGCAAATTGCAAATTGGCATCGAATGCAAATTTTCGTCTGCACATATAGTTGCAACGAGGCAGCTATCGACGGTCATTTTATCGAGCGATTGAAAATTTTTTCAATCACGATCTCGTTATTTCAATTTTATAATAAAAATTATATATATAATTATATATATAATATTTCAATTTTATAATAAAAAAAATGGATGAAACGCACGTGCGTGCCATTTCAGAATTCAATAAGAAGCGCTCCATCATCGTACGGATGATTCGCGCGCCTCTCTTTCCGCTCTTTCCTCCCCCTCGCTTTTCTCGCCACCACCCAAGATACAATCCTGACACTACGAACGCCATGAAAAATATGTTGTCCCCAGTTGACGGCTATTTTATTGAAGGTGAATTACGTACTTGGCCCACTTTATAACCGCGGGAGCCGCCATGACGTCTTCTTTATTGAAATTGATATGCAGCGCTGTAAATTCCGCCGACGATATTCCCGATCGTCGTCGAAAGAGTCCAGATATATCCCCTATATAAGGCCGTCCTCTTCTGTCAAAAATAACGCAATAAAAGATAACCCGGTTTCATCGGTGTTTTTCCAATTCGAACTTTCCCCTCCTACGGATATCCCGCGAGATGGCGAGGGGGGAAAAGGGGGAGAGTGTGGACGAGGGGTGGAGATGCGGAATAAAATTGATTCCCGCTACAAGTTCGAGCGGCATAATATAATCCCCGGCCTCGATTTCCATCTCGCGCGGCCCGCCACTTTTTCCGCGGGGCACTTTCGGAAACATCGAGAAACAATAGGCGCTTAATCCTCGTTTAATCGTTACCTTCAATCGCGTACCGCAAATCGGAATCCTTTAGACACGAGAGCCGTATTTTTCGAGTAGCGGAGTTTTGTTTCCTTTTTTTTTTCCCCGTTCTCGATATCGCGTTCGCCGAAAAAAAAAACTCATGAAATTTATTCGATTTCATCTCGATTTTTATCTTCTTTTTCTTCTTTTCAGAAAATATACTTTCTTAAGTATTTTTTCGCTGCGTATATTTTCCGCATTAATTTGCTCGAGAGCTTCACTTAAACGGGGATGTTCCTCTTCTTGTGAACAATATAAGGTATTTTTTTTCCTCACACTTGCTTAAATTGATATATTTACAAAGATTTATTAATAATTGCAATTTTAAATTAATTAAAGTATTCTAATTGAGATCAGTTTTTTGAAAATATTGAAGAGAGCATTTTCTTCCGGACTTTGGTGAAAAGTGCATCAGATTATCATAATCAACAAAAATATATATATATTTTTTTTTAATTATAAAGTTTGATGAAATTTAAAAGTCCATATTTTTAATAAATTCATAATTCAATGAAAAATATTGAGTCTTGTGAATATTTACAAAAATTGCACTTTTCTAAATTCTTTTTAAAAATAAACATTGACACTCATTTGTCTTAACTTTCGCAATTATTTATAGTAATGCCTCTTTGCTCTATTTCTCCCTTCTAATTTTTTTATGTCATACGTTTTACCTTTAATTTGCTAGGAAAAACAATTAAAAAATGTTATAATAGAGCTCGGGAATATTGCCCCTATTAAATTTTTGTATTTTCAAAGAAAAATACATCCTCATACATATTAAATAGAAAAAAACATTTATGTAGAAAAAAATATTTGACTGTCATCAGTTATATAAGTTATGCCTTCAAAAATAGTGGAACGGGTATAAAAATAAAGATAATTAAATTTTTATGAAAAATGATTAAAAATGTTAGAAATAAATTTTACATATTAATTTTTTAAATTACTAATTTTACTCTTTTTAATATAAAATTACATTCATGGCAGTTCTTTGGCGATTTCCCAATTGATTGTGTACTATCACCTATCGACTTCTGTTTCAATAACACTTATAGGTCATTATTTCTGAGTAATAAGCGAGACATTTTCCTTGCTGGAGGATATTACGTCATTTCACCCTATAAAGAGAATATTTACTCTCCCCAAAGAAAATATCATGACCGACGATTCTCTCCTTCTCCTGTTATTCCTTTAATTCTACCTGGGAGATAAGCCGTATTTAACGCACGAGAATAGATCACGTGGCAAATCGAGCCCCGGAGAGGACGTGCCAGAGCTGACGCGTATCGCGTCATTTTCCGACGGTATTTTCTATCGTTGGCACCTTAACGAGGCTCCTACCTACCTATTCTGGCAAGGTAAACAAGATTTTCGTGCGTCGCTCAGCGGAATTCAGCCGCGGAATTCCGGGAGCGCGAATTCCGGGCCGAGGACCGCGCGGCTATTCGCTTTAATTCGGCGACGTACGCAAATGAATTGCTTTAGCGCCGGTAATCGTCTTTCGACTCTCGGAACGCGAGGGGCGTGGGGGGGGGTGGAAAGGAGGATTGGCCGCAATCGAATGTCGGGGTTGGTAGCTGACGAAACGGGACGCGAGCGAGCGACCGCGCGCGCAAATTGGCCGCGTACAACGAGGGCTCCGAACGAGGGCGAACGCTCCCCTGATTGCGCCTCATCCCGATAAAATTACCGAGCACGATGTTACTCGGTACATGTATGTATATGTATACAATAGAATCTGGCAACTCGCAATCTTAATTGAATGGCCTTGCCGTCGAACCTCCCTCGGCGAATTGTCGATATGGCCGATACTAATCGCAGTCTGTTCTACAAATTCTCAAGCCCGTATTTTTAAGCGCGAGTATGATTCTTCTGGCATTAAAATCTCCTTCAAACTTGAAATTAACTGGAGAAATATATTTTCTTTAATTTCATTTTTTTCCATCTTTGTTTATAATTCTCATTAATAACGAATATTCATAGAATATTCTATATAAATTTTGTGATATTTATATAATATTTATATATTTTTATATAATATTTATATAATATTTATATAATATTTTTATAATATTTTTTATTAATATTCTCTTATTATATTATTATATATATTATTTATGTATACATGTATATTTTATTATTTTTTGTAACATTCTATTATTATTTTTATTATAATCTTTTTCTCTTTTTCTCTTAAAATTCTTATTAATGAGTATTATAAATAAATATTTTTATAATTATATATAAATGATTTGATGTCCGAGAAATTGTAGAACATCCCACATTATATCAATATCATTATCAGAATCAATATTAGAATCATTATTAGAATCAATATTAATATTAGAATCAATATTAATTCTAGCTGAAAAATTAGTTTTCCTCTATTTTTGCCGATATTTTATTATTTTATCATAACTTGATTAAAAGAACCAGATTATATTTTATATCCATTGATTTACTTTACGGGAAGTTGAGTGTATAAAAAAAGCGGTAGAGATATAATGAAAAGAAATTTTCTCTTCTCGTCGCCGTAATATTTGTGATATTAAGGATAAACGAGAAACGGCTGACACCTCTCCCCGTCTCACATTTATAGCACACGACTTTATTCTGTCACAGGCGACGGGTGATCCTCAGAACCTGCTGAGATGCCTGAGAGACGTGTCCTTGAGCGAACTAGTGTCGGTGCCTGTTAAGGGACTGGAGTTCGCGCCGGCTTTCGGCCCCAGCATAGACGGCGTCGTAATCGATCCCGGTGATCCCGAGGATCAGGACTACACCCTGCAGGTCGACACGATCAATACGCTCAACAATATCCTTCTGAGGAAGGACGTCGTGGCGAAATTGTCGAGGTATCATTCGACTTCTCTTTTTGCTGCAATCGTTATAACTCGCGAGATCGAGCTTCGAGACAAGGGAAAATAAATAGCACGGGAAACAATACCGTTGCTCGACGGGGGATCATCGGCGAGGAAAAATAAAATCGCATCCTACAATGTCCAGGACAACTTTCTTATATTCTTCGCTTGAAAAATATGGAACTTTCGCGTGTAAACAGAAACTGCAGGATAAAAAGAAATTCATATCTAAAGTGCCAATGAAGGATTCTAAGTATCTATGTTTCCTACGAATTTTCGAGAATCCAAATAACCCAATATTCCAGATATATAGGGTGATTTGTAAATTATATGTTTTATGAAAAATTGTTGCATATAAAAGTTACATAATTTCAAGAGAATTATTAAATAGTATATCTATCTTTTTTATAAGAGAAAGTCTTTCAAAAATTTGAAGATCTAGTTTTCTTACGTGAAACCACCGTAATTTTATTAATTTTTTCAATCGATTCCTCTCAATATTTAAAAAATTATAAGATCTAAAAATTGAACACTTTACAAGATATTTTATATTTTAAATTAACATAATTCTTTTATATATATACATAATTCTTTTATATAAATTATGAAATATATTCATTCTTCAATGTTATTTTACCTTAATTTAACCTTATCTTTATACACAATATAATATGAGAGGAATCAATTAGTGTAAAAAAAACACAAATTATTTTTAAAAAGAGATATAAACTTGCAACAATCAGCTATAAATAATTCAAAAGATCTATTTTAATCGTCTCACTCTGCACATATATATTATTAATTTCCTTCATATTTTTAGAAGAAGCTTTCCATTATCCTTGAACAAATATCTTATAATAGTGAGTGACACATTGAAGTCCGGCGTAGAACAAGAATGTGATTCTTTAAGGACCGCGGAATCTGAGAGTCCTGGAGCTAAAAGAGAAACTTCCCGAGTAAAATTTTCATATACATACTTTGAGTCAAAAACTTATATGCCCTAAAAATGTTTTACAGATTGCGAACTTGTTAAAATTTCATGAAACATTTCTTTGCTCTTCAAAGTGTGTGAGAAAGTGAACTCGTAAATTTGCAGATACGACCTAATGGTGGGGGTTGTTCGCTCGGAAGCGTATTTTTCCTTAACTGCCGACGACGCTCAATACGGGATCGAGGCCGATAGAAGGACGAGGATCCTGCGCGAATTCGTGCGAAACACGTACACGTATCATCAGCCGGAGATCCTGGCGACCATCATAAACGAGTACACGGACTGGGAGCGACCTGTCCAGCATCCTGTTAATATTAGGTAAATTCCCAATAAATTTAATTGTGAAATTCAAATAAAGCTCGATATCCTTTCATTTATTTCAATTATTTATGTGTCCTAATTAATTGTCATTAATTTATTATGTGTTGCATTAGCTAAATAAATAAATCATTGCAAATCATTTAATTATTTATTAATTTACTAACTCTTCATTTACGATTATGTGTATGTGTTTTATTATATATTATTTAATCATTATTTTTAATGATTTGTCTCTTTATATTTTTTTAAAAGTTTTTCTTAATTAATGTAATAATGTATTTTGTAACAATATAATACGACAATATTTTCACAAAAAATTTTTATTATCCGAGATATATAAATATAATTTTTAATTTCCCAAACATATTTTAAATATGATTTTTCATCACTTATTTTAAGTTTATTTCCGATAAACGTTTGAGAAAAGTGTTTGAAGTATATTACGAGGTTTATGAAAGGGGAATATTCATTTTTTTCAGAGACGAGACCCTCGAGGCCCTGGGGGACGCGAATATCGTTGCCCCAGCGACGAGAACCGCGGATCTTCACAGCCAATCCCATAGGAATTCCTATCTATATGTCTTCGACTACCAAACGAAATTTGGAGACTATCCTCAGGTTTGTGATCAGCCGAGAAAATATTTTATTGAATAACCTAAAATAAAAGGGAATGAAAGAATCTCTAGGTGCTACAGAATCCTCAGAATAAAAGACATCTGTGCAATCATATATTCAGACATATTTCTGATATTATATATATATATATATATATATATATATATATATATATGTGATAATATAATAATAATATAATAATAATAATAATAATAATAATAATAATAATAATAATAATAATATAATGATATAAAATAATAATATAAAATAATAATAATAATAATAATAATAATAATAATATGCAATATAGCTAAATAGATAAATAAATAAGTAAAATGGAGAGAAAATAATCGAGAGTAAAGATGATCTCTAGGTCTCATCTATTCCCCGTTATTTTTTATTGATGGAATTTTTGATGAATTTATCTGGCTGTGATAGCTTTTTATGTTCTTAAATCTGTTTATACGATAAAGTTAATATTTATTGCATAACTAGAATGTTAGATCTCATAACTTAAAGAGAAGAATATTAGATTAAAAATGTTTACATTATTATTATATTATTATATTATATTATAATATGAGATCTAACATTCTAGTTATGCAATAAATATTAACTTTGTCGTATAAACAGATTTAAGGACATAAAAAAAACTATCACACAGCCAGATAAATTCATCAGAAATTCCATCAATAAAAAATAACGGGGGGGTAGATGAGACCTAGAGATCATCTTCGCTCTCGTTTATTTTCTCTCCATTTTACTTAATTATTTATCTATTTAGCTATATATTGCGTATACACGAAACGGAAGCTGAGATTCAGCGGAAACGCGGCAGCATGGCGGTGACTCTTGCTCGTATCTGATTTTAGAAACTTATGAGAGGCGTACAACCCCTTACCCCCGCCTCGTGCATCCCCTTTCCTTTTGCCTGCTCCTAGTTTCGAACTTCGAATGAATTTTGGTGCCGCGATTATTAATGCCACATATATTAGCGATATCCCCTTCTCCTCCCCCCTCCTCGCCCTCCGTCCTTTCCTCCCTCTGCTATTTCTCCGCTGGAGGTTGTGTAACAAGAAACGGATGTGTGAAGGGAAATTCGAAAATTGCACCGCGACGATGAGACTAGTTATTACCGTTGCGCGAAATTTCGAGATATTATCTGAACATGTGTTCCTGATGCATATATTAACGATGTGCTCCGCGCGGAGCATTTCAGTTATCCAAGCATCTCATATACACGTGGGGGCAGATAAGACGCGACACGCAAATGTACGAGGGACGGCGAAGCTGTAAAAGTTTCTATCTCTCTCTTTCTTTCTCCTTTTCTGCACGAAATGATAAAAATTTCCCTCCATCTTCTTTTCCAAGGACGCAAAAAATTTTCTGAATAAATAATCACCTTCATATCTGCCGCTTCGTAAATTCAGTAGAAAACAACGATACAATTTTAAAGGGCGCGGGGGCGAGATCCGACGAGGAGAGGATTTGAAATTCCACGTTCGCCTCTCGCAAGCACCTGCAACTTTCAGCCACGCTCCCTCTCTCTCTCTCTCTCTCTCTCTCTCTCTCTCTCTCTCTCTCTCTCTCTCTTCTCACGCCGTCATTTCTACCGGCACCTTTTGCGCCTTACACCCGATGCACTTTGCATGCGAATATCGTCTGGCACCTCGACCTAGCGATCACCGTTGCCGTCAACCGGCGAAATGAAAGTGCATTAAACGTTCAGCGCGCGCGCCCCTTTCACTCCCGTCCCACCCGTTCCCGTTCGCGTCCTTTTCGCCCCTTTCATGTCTCTCGCGGAGAGCCAACGAAGAATAAGGATCGCGCGTAAACGCTGCAACGAACTTATTGCTCCTGCTACGATTGCATGCGGAAAAACGTTTCGGTCGCGCACGAAACGCGGACGTGTTTCTTACTCGTACACCGTGGGATGCATCGAGATATTCCTGTGATGTGCTTTCAAAAAAAAAAAGCTCTGTCCACGCCGGGTCTGCGATCCCGCGAAATTAATAACTTCGACGGGGCGAATAGTAAAACGCGGACCGTTGTAATATATCGACGCGCGTTAATTTGCGGAAGCGTAATTACTTCCTGATTAACGAATGACGATTTAATTACAACTTGATTATATTGCTGTTGCTCAATAATCGCAAACGCCGCAACGATGAATTGCCGCTAACACGTGAACCCATCAATTTGATATTACTCGTAATCGTTGTTCCATTATTTCGTATTTCAGTCCGGCCTCGGGGTGAAACGCGGCTCTAAAAGTGCGAGCTCGCGTGATTCGAATTTTTCGGGGGCCACCCTAAGCTCGGGCTCGGGTTAAAATGGACGCGCAAACGTCAGCTCGGTGAAGAATCGGTCGACGCATTTTTAGAATCTCAACGGGATCCTGGTGGATTCCACGAGTGCTTTCGTATGATCGAGCGCGAAAGAGAGGACTCTCGGAGAAATTCTTTTGAATTCCGCGGTCGGTCCAGTCCGGTCAACGCTTCGATTGAACCAGTCGATTGAGCTTTTAAACGAAGAGTTATCTCTAATAACTCCACTAGAGATACTTCACCCAGACACCCTTGAAAAAGAATGCATTAGATTACACAGTAAAAAATTTTGTGTTAAATTTAACATATTTCACATGTCCCAATTTATCTAATTTTAATGTTAATTTAACAGAAGGCAAGGATGTAAATAAATAACACAAGTAATATGTTTAAAAATTAACACAAAAGTGTAACACTTAAACTTTATCTGGAAATAAAGTTTATGTTAAGTTAACATATTTGTGATGTCAAATTTAATTAAAAGAAAATGTTATTCTTACATTTTTATAATAAATAACAGAAGAGATATGTCGATCTAACATATAGAAACTGTTATAGAGAGAAAAATAACACAATTTATCCGTTCATTTTAACATATTTCATCAAAAATTCGCGCATTTACATATTAATTGTGTTGTTTTAACTCTTAGAAACGGTGAATATTGACTCAAAGCAGAAATGTCAAAATAACGCAACGATAATATGTTACATTAACATAAGAGTATGTTAAAAATTTAACACCAAAATTTTTACACAAGAAAATTTTAACAGAAATACAAAATGTTTTTTACCGTGTAGAATGTATTAGATTAAAATGTGGGAAATTAAATTCCTACTTTTTTAGATTAGGTTTCTATTTTTAAAATTAAGTTTCTATTTTTAGATTAGGTTTCTATTTTTAAATTAGGTTTCTATTTTCTATTTATGTCTACACGATAAAAAACATTTTGTATTTCTGTTAAAATTTTCTCGTGCAAAAATTTTTATGTTAAATTTTTAACATACTCTTATGTTAATGTAATATTATCGTTGCGTTATTTTGACATTTCTGCGTTGAGTTAATATTCACCGTTTCGAAAAATTAAAACAACACAATCAATATGTAAATACACGAATTTTTGATGAAATATATTATATGTTAAAATGAACAGATAAGTTGTATTATTTTTCTCTCTATAACAGTTTCCATATGTTAAATCGACATATCTCTTCTGTTATTTATCATAAAAATGTATAATAACATTTTCTCTTAATTAAATTTAACATTATAAATATGTTAATTTAACATAAACTTTATTTCCAGATAAAGTTTAAGTGTTACACTTTTGAGTTAATTTTTAAACATATTACTTGTGTTATTTATTTACATATTTGCCTTCTGTTAAATTAACATTAAAATTAGAGTGGACAAATTGGGACATGTGAAATGTGTTAAATTTAACACAAAATTTTTTACTGTGTATAAATAAAATTTTACCAGTTTATATTCTTATATCTTATATAAAATAAAATTAGGTTTCTATTTTTAGATTAGGTTTCTATTTTTAGATTAGGTTTCTATTTTTAGATTAGGTTTCTATTTTAGATTAGGTTTCTATTTTTAGGTGAGGTTTCTATTTTCTATTTATGTTTATAAATAACATTTTACCCGTTTATATTCTTATGTCTTACACAAAATAATTCTAATCAATCACTGTTATAGAGGCCGGGATGTATTCACGGAGAGGAGCTGCCATATTTTTTCGGGGCGCCCCTGGTAGGTGGCTTGTCCCACTGGCCGAAGAACTATACCAGATCCGAGATAGCACTCTCCGAGAGCATGATACTTTATCTGACAAACTTCGCACGCACCGGGTAAGTCGTAAAATAAACTATAAAAAGTGACGCCCGCAAAATACGATAAAAACTTGGCCGAGGCGTTATTATTATATAATGATCGTTTCCGACCGCCAGGAATCCTAACGAGGGTACTCCCGATCCTGGACCCCTCGGCTCCAGACCGGAAAGGACCAAGGTCAAGAATATCGATTGGATCGCCTACGAGGCCGTCCACAAGAAATATCTTAGCATAGGTCAGCTTTTCTCGTCTTAGATATTTCACCTTCATTTATATCTTTTTTTTAACTCATAAAATGCTCTTTTATCGCACGTGTTATTTATTTATTAAAAAAGTTTATTGATGCGTCAAGTATCTTCTTTTTAGAAATGTATACTTTAATATCGAGAAATTTTTTATGTATTTATAAGAAAAGTTTTGATTAGAAAGTCATAGTCTGTCGATTTTATAGAACTCAACAAGTCGAAGTTGAAGAATCACTACAGGGCGCATCGCCTCTCTTTTTGGCTAAACCTAGTGCCCGACCTTCATAAACCCGGCTCAGACGACGTTCCTAGATCGCATCATCTGCTCGATGCCGAACAGGTACAATCAAACTAATTATTCATTAATAAAAGGATAAGAGTGATTATTTATTAATTATCAGACATGTTGAACAAGCGAGACCGGTTGGATTGAAATTCTGAAAGAATCTTATTCCCCAGGTGCCACCCAGATTCATCCAGAGACTGCCAACAACCGCGAGAACGACCACCTTGGAGGTAACTTCCATAGAAAAATCCTCGTCCAACGCGTCGACGGCCACGCCCAGCGACATAGCTTTCGAGGACACCACGGCGCAACCCGAGGACGGTTTCGCGGCTTATTCCACCGCCCTGAGCGTGACAATCGCGATCGGTTGCAGCCTGCTGATCCTGAACGTGCTCATCTTCGCCGGGGTGTATTATCAGCGGGACAAGAGCAACCATCAGCATCAGGGCTGCTCGAAGAAGCGCCAAGAAAACGGCCAGATGCCCAACAACATCTGCGGCGAGCTGGAGACCAAGACTGCCGAACGCCATCACATCCAGCACATACCGCCGCCGGAGTTCGCAGACCTCCAAAACAATACTTGTCACGTGCCTATGCCGCCCCCGCCGCCCAAGAACACGAAGCCCGGCAAACCCGGCCAGAATCTCATCATCAGTCCCAATCAACTTCAGCAGGAGAGCCTGGCCATGAGCGGCACCGGGACCCTGAAAAAGGGACACAATCATCCCCAGGTTATGGAGGAGCTGAGGGTCTGACTCTAGGAGACGGCGCGGCCGATGAATTAATATTGGCCGCGAGGTAGATTAGAATCCAGAAATCGCCGATCGTCAAAAACTCGCTACTTCAAGATAAACTTCTCGTTATCAATCTGACAATGAACGTCAGCAGGACCCTAAAGATGGGACACGAGCGTATTTTTTTTCCGATGACGATGAGCCGAGAATTGGATACCGAAACTTTTAGATTTTAGGCTTCTGAAACCGTCGAGGATTGGAAAATCAATCTTCGAAGTTACTCGTCATCGATCTAACTGCGAATAGAATCCTCGAAAATATGACGAGGAGATTAAGATCCCAAAACAAGATCTGAAGTGAAAATGAGAGATCGCTCGGATAATAGTGTTCTCCTGTGGCACTCGACGGCGAACGGGACGACTCTTTAAGGTTTTTCTCGAGGCGATCGTGACTTGGTCGATAGATAGGAAGTGATAAAGGGAAGAGAGAGTGAGTGAAGAATGATCCTTCGTTGTTATGCGAGAAGTACGTGTTAGTGTGCGGCGGCGTAGCTGAAATTTTGTGCCCGGAAGTCAAATCCGCGCTATAGGCTTTTGTATAGAGCCAGAAAAGACTCCGGGATCCCGAAAGATTCGGGTCCAGAAGCGTTGCTTCCGTTCGCTATGCCCCTGTGTTAGTGGCTATACTGTTATCGTTTTCTACCTTTCGAATTTGTGCGACCAACTGCCGAAAATCACGTAGTCTTTGACGGGATATCTGCGTTAAATAGGACTCTTCATCTTCGAGGGAAGAGAATTTTCGAGTAAACTTTCCAAGAATGATTCCAAAAATGTTCATGCATCCAATCAACGTTAATTTTTAACTAATGTAACAATTCGAACTGTTCTTTAGAGTTTTGTCTCTACACATTTTCATAAACGTTACTTGATTTTGTTTTTTTATTTCACTTTATCTTATTTTTGTGTATTTCATTTATCTCATTTTGATTAATCCCATTAATTTTATTTTTAGTATCGTATTTAAAGATTCAAATATTATTATTAAAAGTTAATATTATCCCTTTTCCTTTAAATTTTAATTTCAATTAAATTAATTTAATCTTCTGAAATAATTATTTTAACGAAAATTAACAATATTTAGGCAACGTATTTTTATTTCATCTTCTCTCTCTTTCATTATCTTTCCACATAATATAGACTGAAGGTTCGAGTCGATTTGAGTCGTGCCGATACTGTCCTCGTTCTTCCGAGTGATAATGATCATGATAATGATTCGAGTCGCTGCCACGATTTATTTCTATGATGTCGATCGTTCAAATGCTCAATTAAAATCTGAATTAACCCTTTCCTTCTCAACTCAACGACCATTTAATTCGACATTTTCACCAGAAATAAGTTTGCCTTTAGCACTGCAGAAATTTTATTAATTTGCAATAGAACAATTTTGTCTCTAATTATTACGAGGCGATATTCCGTTACCTTTCTTTCGTTACGAAGCAAATTATGAAGTTAAATGAGCCTTGCAGAACAGAAGGAACAATTATCTGAGAATAAAAGGGTTAAACGAACGATCGCGCATCAATCAAACAATCTTTTTTACAGAGTAAGAGTGAAAGGAAGTCAAAATGGTCGACGGTACTCAACAGTACATACTGCCAAACGATCGCGAAAAAGTCGAGGAAAAATTGCAGATCGTTGAATGGAAAATCGCGATTAGTCAGAATTCTCGAGGACGAAAAAACTACTGCGATGCAGGGGAAAAAAAGCGTTTTATAAAAATCGAGCAATTGCAAATTTAATCAATCCTTCTCCTCTTTCAGATGTAAACGTTTCCGAAACACTGTGCGAGGCGGGCATTCGCATAAGAATTAACTAAAGAGTCATTTTATAAGAATTGGAGTTATTACCATCATACACAAACTTTATTGCATCGTTATTCTTTAAGTATTGTAATTTTATTAATAATCATCGGTTTCATACTATTTTCAAATTTATTTATATTAAAAGAGAGAGAGATTAAATTTGGAGTTGTCCGATTTTTCATGGATTAACGAAAGGTTTCTCACAAATTTACGGCGACAGACTGTTGAAGGGACTTTCCGAGCGCGATTTCGACTGTAAATAAAGATTATTTAAGCTTAAGTCTGTCGCTGACGCGCTGTTAACGAGCACCGAGGAGCTCGGGAATAGCACCGATTGTAATAATATTGCACGTCGACGAAAGAGAAACGGTATGTCAGCGTAGTCGGAAGCACACTGGACGTAATTTTAAATTTGTATATAATTGACATTACAATAAACTATATAATAAACTATCCATCTTGTCTTATTCCAATCTTTCCCGAAAATCAAACGATTTATGAAAGAATTAATATTAATCTGTTACTAGTTATTTTTTAAAAAAGAATCAATAACAATCTGTCATTAATTATTCTTTAAAAAATAAATTAAATATAAATTGAGTATAATAATAAAATTTAAATATAATAATTTAAATATAAATTAAAATATATTATTAATACACGCAAAATATTTAAAATAGATTATTCGAGTACATCTTATAATGTGAAATAATATATCCTTTACTTGGAATAAGTAGAGTTTTGATGGAGATATTTCTAGGAATCTCGGAGATTTTTGACAGAGTTTAAAAACGTGCGCATAATTTTTTGATGAACATAAAATTTTATTCGCTCATTTGTTGAAGCTCTACGCGACATACATGATATGATAAGTTTGCGAAACTTTATCCACGAGCCTCGATTCGGACTAACACGAGGCTTTATCTAAGACACAAGGTACAAAAAGATGGGGTTGATTCCTTTGCCTTTGACAAACGAACCTTACGACCAGAGACGCTCTCAATTTGCTTTTACAATGGCAGTTAAAAGCGAATGCTACCATTCTTTCTCCCTCGCTTTTCTTTGAAACTCTTCACGAGATAGGGATCTTCGCTCTCGAGATTGTTAATTAAAAACATTGATGCACACCGTGAGTAATTTGATACATACAAATTAAATAGAAATTAGATACTTGAAAATAAAGAATACTTAAAATAAAATAAAAATAGAAAAATAAATTAAAAATAAAGAATACTTAAAATAAAATAAGAATACATGAAATAAAATAAAAATTAAATTAAATAAAAATTAAATATAAATTAAATATAATATAAAGCCATATAGAAATTAAAGAGAAATTACATAATATAAAGACACAAAAATTAAATGGAAATTAAATAACATAAAGATTTAAATGCAAATAAATAAATTAAAAACTAAAACTTGAAATTAGTGACGAGAGAAACAGCGTATTTATCTCATGATACATAAAATATTAACACACACACACATACAAGATTAACATTTAAGTATTTGTAAATTAAATTTTTATTTTTATTATTATTATGAATTTTAAATTAACTGCAACTTTATTTCATGTAACTCCAATAATTACGAAAATGTTTATCGATCATTTTCAAAAGTATTATATGCGATATTATACGAAAAACAAAATATATTGGTCACTTATTGAAATAATTACCAGCCATCTTGTTTCTCTGATCGTGATTCGTTTACAAAAGGAAATGTTTATATCCACATAAAATCTGTTGCTATCCTTGTTTTCTACTTTATAATAATATAATCTGCATATATGTTACAACTACGTAGCGCGAAAGCTGAAACGATAATCCGTTGCTACTCGATTTCATCTTATGATGTTACAGTAAACAAAAGATAACAAAATCGTTCATAAACAATAACCACTCCTCCTCATATCATCTCGCGAAATATAAGGAAGAGAGATTACATTGAAATATTTATATGTTTATATATTCTTATATAATATACAATAAGAATCGTAAATGCACTTGAGGCTTCGTTCTAGTCGGAACGTTCGTTTTTAATTATCCCGATTTAATTAGCCTAATGAAAGCTGCTTCTATCAAGTTTCTTTCAGTACTATATCAGATATTAAATAATGATATTAATATTAAATATTGATATTAACGTTGCATAAAAAAAATATAAATATATTAAATAATACTATTGATATTAATATTGAATAATATTTGATATTTTATATATTGATTTAATATTAAATAATAATGTCTTGATGTATAAATATTAATATAAATATCAAATAAAATGTTTTAATCCTCTATAACAATAAACATAAAAAAATGTACTAATTTTATAATTTCTTAATATTTATATAATATATAAGTTCTATAATATTTAAGTTTAAAAAATTTAACTGATTGTTTAAATTAAATTGTTTAAATGAAAAAAGAAATACTTAATATTAAATATTTCTTAATTATACGATTGTTTGCCGAAAAGACAAACATTTAACGGCAGTTGAATATCAATTAATCAATGAGCAATTCAAGTTGCTGTCCGATTCGTTACTCGACGACCATTTCGACTAGATCGGCACATACATCGGTTTACTCATCAATTACATTACATATGAAAGACATTGCCCGCAACTTTTTCGGTTCTATCAGTTTTTTGATTTTTTTCTAGGTTTCTATCGCGAATATTATACATTTATTAACTATTGCATAAAAATCGTACATTACATTTCATTCTTAAAGAACTTATATATGTATATATAAATATTTGCAAATTTATATAAACTCAATAGATTTTTTAATTGATTTCATATTTCTGCTTTTTTGCGGTTTATTATTACGGACAAATGTCTTTTGCTGAATAAATTAAATAGGGATCTAAAAATAATTATATCTTTTAAATTTGAAAAATGTTGGAAAATATTCCTTCAAGATTTAAATGAAAAATTTGAATCCTCCTGAAAAATAATTAATTGCAGACTCTTCAATTTAAAAACATATTTTCGAAATATACTAATATGATTCTTAATAGACGCCTTCAATAAAAATTAATAACTTTAACATAAATTTATGAGAAAAATAAATTAATTAATATGTAATATTATTTTATTATATATTAATTAATCTTCATATCATTATAAAATAATAGTGGAATTATATAATTGATGGTGAGATGATTGATTGATTCGTGAACATTGGATCATTATATTATATTTGTGCTAAAACAAATCATAATCACAGTAACATACAAATTTAACATACACACGGGTGATGATTACGATGAAGCTTCGCGTGAAAGTAACTGAGTTTTCACATCGTTCCTAATTTAATCGTGAAACTTGCTAGATTCGTCCTCGGATGTGTTGCCTCGAAATAGTGCTCGAAAAAACCATCTCGCGATACATACTCAATATTGCTGTGCGATAATGTCGGATTAACGCTACACGACACGTTATATAGGAGCTGGCTAGAGAAACATTTTAACGCGTCTATCCATTTGCACTATATAAACTTTTTTTAATTTTCAAAAATTTTTTCAATTTATATGTTATATAAATATTTTCAAAAATTTGCCCCATCACTAAAGAGCTCCTAAAAATTTTTATTTTTTACAATTGAGAATTTTTTACACTTGAGAACAAAAAAAATCCTTTCTCTTTGCAACAAATTAATTCTTCTCTTTCTTCACTCGAAGTCAATTAATTATCTCTATTTTAATTTGATAATCCTACATTTATGAAATTTTATTACACTTTCTAAATGCACAGAAAAATAAATATATGCTACTAAATAATATAAAAATAAATATATGTATATATAAATTTCATATCTTACTTAAAATAATAATAAAATATATCAGGATTAGACGACCTTCGAGTGCAAAGGGATAGATACATTGCTACAGGATTTGTAAAGATCTCGCATCAAGCACGGCTAATAATTTATTTCCCCGACAAGCCTCGATTAATCATTTTCTAGAGAAATATTCGACGAGTGTTTACGTTTGGCGTAGCGTAGGCATTTCTCTTTGTACAAACGGCCAAACATTACGAATAATCCCAATTTAATTTAATAAGTTCTGAAATTTTACTGAAATTTATTAAAACTAATTTAGACGTACTTTATATTTACATATGTATATATCGTGTTTATTATTAATTAATCGTGTTTAAAAAACCTGAATTTATAGATATTAATAATCTAAATTCGCATACACCTCTATATATAATTTTAAACTCAAAGTTATTAATAATTTAGATTTCTAAATTTAATTATTCACATAATTCAAGTGTGAATTAATAACTTGTCATTTTCCCAGACAATTTGTGTGTTCTTGCATCTTTCCCGGGGTGGAAATTTAAAAATTTGATGTTCGGGATATTATTAAGAAGAGATTTCGAAGAAGGCGACGGTCTAGAATAGAATAAAAAAGGATCGAGTTGAGTGAGTTTGGTCGTTTGTGCACACTTGCGTATCCACCGTCGGCCTACAGACTTGAATCTCGTTATCAAGTAGAGTCGCTTATTATCAAGAGATATTGAAAAACGTCTATAAAGATTCGTAATACACGGTACATTAGAAATATATCCTCCAACAAACGACACCTCGCTTCGATAAACGTGCTGTCTTTGAGAAACTCGCGAACTCATCGTAATTAGCTTAGTGTAGCGACTTAATTAACTCCACCAAGGATGATTACTTTCAGTCATGCTTCCCTTGTGCTCTTTTCACCCTCCTTGCTTTAAGTACACAAACAAACTACCCTTTCGCAAGCTTCGGTGTTTTGTGCGCGTTTTTTTTTCTTTTTTCTTTTAAGTTACATACAGGATCTCCGAACGAAGAGTGTGCTTAAACTTGGAAGGATGTAGCAGTGATCTCCACATTAATCGCGGACCAAGTAAATTAACCCTTTCCCTACGGCGATTTTTAATCCAGCATGACGCTCCTGGTCTTTGATAAGGTAATTAATATTTTCACTTTGCAATTTAACGAAAGTGATATGTTAACATTTCTACGAGAAAAATATATTAAAATTATTTTCTCTGATGTAATCCAATGCATATTACATTATTTTCCTTGGAGTAATTTAATTTTGATTAATTTAATTTAATTTAATTTAAAGACTTGATTTACAGAATCCAATTTTAAATCAGAGATTGCATGGAATATTTTATTCTATTGTTATACAATAGAATAAAATACAAAACAATTAATTTACCTCAATCAAAAATTTCATTCAAAGGATTATGATTAAATTACTGCTGTAGATAAAAGGCTAATTTCAAAGGTTTGAGGAGACACTTTTTCGTAAGAATCGTGATATGTGGAATTTATTAGAAGCCGAAAGATGTTACTTGAAAATTCATTAAAAAAATCGCACGATACTTTAGCCCTTCAACCCTTTCGCGTCAATCAGTTAATTTATATTAAAATTACTGTAAATTTTAAAAATAACATTCAATTTTTTTTTCTACAATAATCGCTTCCATAAGATCAATCATTTTTGTAAAACTATATATTAGTTAATACGAAGCTGCAGCTGTAAGATAATAATTTGCAAAATCATATATAAAATGATTAATCGATACAAAGTATATCACACGTGTAATTTTACTTCAACGCGTGAAAAATCGTTCTTTATAGAATGTATTTAATTGGATGCACGAAAGAAGAGGAGCTAATTTTCCGGAGAAGATAAAAGAGCAATAGACCTTACGTGGATTTCGCGACTATCACCGTTTCAAGCTTAAACGCGGAAATACCCCGACGAGGGATGCGATCCCCCTTCTCTCGCACGAAGCCAACGCCCGAATGCAACGCAAGTAGCTAGTATTAGATAACGCTCGAGTTCGTCTAGTAGCACTTGAAACGATACTTAGAGCCCGAGATCGGCGACGAGGGGCCCCCTGTTCCCTTAACGACGTCAGAAGAAGCCAGCAACGCCTCGCAATGGTATGGTGATTCGTGTCGGGAGATTGACTGCGATTTTCCCGCTCTCTTCTCTTCCCTTCTTCTTCGGCGGAGACGCTGCAGCTCCCTAGCAGATGCAACCGCTCTCGCCCTCCGACTCGGAGCCGTTCTGCATCGGCGACTGATTCTGCAAGTCGACAGCTATTTTTTGTGTGTTAAGGCGTGCTGCGTTTTTCAACTTGCGTTTCTCATCAACTGGCAATTTCTTCCTCGACGCGTTTCTCCCAAAATTTACCAATTAAATCAAATATATATATATATATATACATATAAACATTCAAGAGAACTAACTCAGCAAATGCTAAATAACAGTTATATAATCGTTATATAATTATATTATAATTATAATATTATATTATAATTATAATATAATTATATTATAATTATTATAATTATAATATAATTATATTATATGTTACTTGGTGTTTGCTGGGAATTAAATGTACTCATGTACTCTAAATAATGTATCTTAAGTGTCATGTTTGTATCGTGCCAAAGGAAAATGTATTTCGAGAAATAAACTGTCGGAGAACTAATGCAATTTTTGCAATTTGGCAATATTATTGGTCAATAAATACATTATTGCATTTGATTGGTACTATTAAACTTAATTAATGCACGTTGATGAGGCGTTACAATGAGCTCTTACAAACCAGATAAAGAGTACATACAGTGTAATCCTTAATGATACTATAATAATGACAAATTTCCTTTCTAGTATCTATTAATCAAATCTCTAGATACTCTACTGATTATTCGATAATTCGATCGCTGTCAAATCGATATAATTAATTTTCCCTTTTGATTTTTAATTTAATTATTAATACCTCTCATCAGAGCACACAGATTTGATATTATTATAATATCGCGAGTTAATTTCTATCAAAGCTAAAAGATGCGACAATCGAGAAGTGTATAAAAGTTAAAAACGGGACGGAGAATATTTTCTAGCGCTACTTATTACGTGAATTTCTTTAGATATTGAATGACTTGTAAAAAAAGATACTGCGAGAATAAAACAATTAAATATATATTATAAAATTAATATAAAATTTCATTAGAATCTAATTAAAATTTATTCATACATCAAAAATTTCAATTTAATATTTAAAATTAATTTCTTGTTGATCAAAATATATTCTCAAATCAAATTTAATATAAATTAAATAAATAAATAAATATTTTCTTAGATTCTTAAAAAAAAAACACTTTTTATCAAAATTATTATTTTTTATCAAAATAATTTTATTAAAATTGATACTAAAAACTTGGTCTTGAAAGTTTATCTTATAAGCCTTGTTTAATTATGCTTAATAATCTTTTCGAGTATTTGAATTTAAAAAAAAAATTAATTAAATGAAAAATCAGAAAACCAAGCAAAAGCAAAAATTAATAAATTGAAATAAATTTTTAAAATTAAACTCTATTCTCTCTCTTAGGAGAGATAAATTAAAGAATACAAAGTAAATATGAGATGAACAAAGAGGACACGAGGAAAAATAAAAAAGTCATGGACGAAAAACCAATATAAGAAATAATAAGAAATAATAAAGTTTGATAAAATTTCTCTTTTATATTATTAAGATTAGGTTTCTTTTTACATAAAATAAAATATTACAATTAATGAAAAAATTATAGACAAAAAAGATAATAAGATCAATTAACCTCTTAAAAATAAAAAATCTTTTTTATATATACATCTTAAATTTTTTATTTAGAATTTTTATATGTAATTTCAAACAAAAGACTTTTAACTCGTTTTTTTTTTTAATATGTCAATCTAAAAAGAATATATAAATAATAAATCGTCGAAAGAATATTTAATTTAAGTTTTCGGATAAATATGTGAAACTGTACAAGATTGTCATTTATACTACGTACTCTTAAAATATTTGTAGAAAAGAGATATAGTTAGCTGCTAATTAATTATCCACAAATTTATAGAAAAATTTCTTTTAAATATCTTCCCTCTTTCCTTTCTTTCCTTTCTTTTCTTGTCTTTTATTAATTCGTTAACGGATTTAGTTTCATGAGAAAAATGTTAATACATTGAGTTTTAGTAATATCTTTTTCTAACATTAAATAGAGCGAAGATTTATTAAGATAAATTATTTAACTATCAGAACTTGATCTTTTGTTGAAAAATGTAATTTTATCATCTCGAGGGAGGACTGCATTTACGCAACATGTTTACTATATACTCTCCAAATTAATGCAAATGTCGCTAAATGCAAATTACAGCTGTCTTATTTTCTTTTATTGCAACCATGTTGGACAATTAATAATATCTCGTTCCTAGAAACGATGATATACAAGGATACGACAAATGCCATTTTCCTATCATTTGTTTAAATGTGAATTTGAGCAACTATCGATTTAATTGATATTTAATTACACGGTAAAAAAATACTGTACGATATTGAACAATCTATATTAACAAGCGAAATAAACTTAGATAAACTTTGAGACCTTAATCAGGGCATGTATTAAACCTCCTAGCTTTGATTTATACTTGATGAGAAAAATATTATAATAGAATTGAAAAAAAATAAAATAAAATGAAATTTTACGACTCACATAAAATTTTTTAATTTCCCCTTGTTTTATAAAATACGTAATAGATACAGCATTCCTCTTGTCCAAAAATATATGAAGCATCAAAAATATGAAGCATCAAACTAATAAGCTCTCAAATTAAATGCGCAATTCATTTTTCTTCAAGTATTATAATTAAATCATCTAAATTTTGGAAATTAAATATAATTTAATTTCCAAAATTTAGATGATTTAATTATAATGCTTACGTTGAAACAATTTTAATCATCGTAGCAATCAAATATAAAAAATTGCCTTCTAATTTACCTTTCAATTTAAAAATCGGCTAATATAGCTTCTTTTGCAATCTGTTAAAGATGCCCCATAATTCTGGCTAAGAGCTTAATCTGGTAATCGCTGATAGTCAAAGCCGTGAGGGTTAACAGTCCTTTCTACGATCCGCTAGCATACGAAAACATGTCATTGTGTAAAAGCAGTCTTAAGCTATTGTGTGTGAAACTATTTTTCTCGTTTTAATAAGAATCGTTGCTGCTTCAGTGCACGTAGCCTTCCACGAGTTTTCCGACTCTGCGAAAAAGCACAAAGGCCAAATACAATCCATACCCTAACGCCTAAAAGTCATTAACTTATAAGTTAACTTAGCTCCGTGTCTTGTCTACCAATCAGGGCATCGAACGGAAATAGAATATGTTTCTTCGAATTACCTCGAAGGAAAGTAAATTAATAAATTAATAATATTAAAATATGATTTATATATTATAATAAACTTATATGTGTTTCCTATAAGGAAATTTCTTAAATGGAATTTCTCGACTTTTTCGAAGAAATCATAATATTGTTGTGTAAATAATAATATATTAATATTATTACACATTGTTAATATCTGTAATATCTATAATTATAATATATATACATGTGATAATATTAATATATCTTCATATTTACTTATATATAATTGCTTGCTTAAAAAAAATCGAAAAATTAAACCTTTCTCAAGAATTTCCTTTGAAAATCAATTTATATTCTCTCGAAAGAGGTTCCCAAACCGTTCCAAAACAATCTGGAACGATTCGGGCCCTAGTCGAAACTTAACAAAGGCCCCTTTCGATTCAATTCGATACCCTGCTACCATACAGGCCGACGACGACTTAGCATGCACAACTGCTCTCCGAGGCTTTCAGTTCGATTGGAGTGTCCTTGAGCACTACCTCTTGCACTACGGATTAAAAAACGTATTAAGGAAAACATAAAAGTCTAATACAAACAAATGGAAGATCCGACAAATCGCCAAATAAATCCAGTTCAGAAATTAAAAGCGAGAAATTGAAATGAATGGCTAACGAGTCGTTTAAAAAAATGTGAGAAATTTAAGGATCAAGGAACGTTAGTTTTTTTTTTCGAGTTAAAGAAATTACGAAGGAACATAAAGATATATTTAATGTCTACCAAGAAATCAGAAGATATTAATAATGAAGAGATTAGAATACGAGTTAATAAAAAATAAATGTTTGATGCGTCTCTTTTCCCCCAAAAAAATATTAAATAAATATAAACATGTATAACGCGCGACAAAAACTTCATATCCAATGTCCTGAAAAGAAGTACTGATAATTATGATTAATTAATTAAAAAATAAAAACTTGCAACATATTAATAAGAAGCAACTCGTGTTACCTCGAATCATGAGTCGAAGTCATGAATGAAAAGGTACGATAGTAATAAAATGCAAGATATTTTCAAGGCAATAATGGATGAGATGGAACTTATGTACACGTGAAGTGAGAGAAGTCGCCGTAAACGTTCCTGCAAATGTGTCATGCAAATTGCGTGCATTAAGTATCTTACGCAAAGGATACTGTCTTCGGGTGGCTTGTTTTCGGTGGAGTCCATACCCGGCAGAGCCGCCGCTACTCTTCTAAATAGCTAGAATAATTGAAAAATAACGATAATTTTCCTCGCTCCTTCACATCATCGAGAACAATTTTCCCGTACATGAAGCATAAACAAAAAAGGAATAAAATCATTACCTGCTTCACGTTGTAGCCAGCCTTAGCACTAGTTTCGATAAACATCACATTTAATTCCTTCGCTTTCCGCTCGCCCTCCTCCGTCGAAACTTGCCTCTTATCACTCAAATCTGTTTTATTGCCCACTAGCATAATTATCACATCACTTCCTCTTTCAGTCCGCACATCGTCTATCCACTTGGATGTTTGATGAAACGAATTGGCGTCTGACAAACGTGCAATCTTAATTCTTTATCATTCATCTATCAGGTAGTAACTAACAGCGTTTGCCAGCAGCCATTTATGTCATTGTTATTACATATATTTCTAATTAGTATAAAATAAATAAATGTATGTTGAAATAAATTGTAAGAAAAATTGAAAAATTCTTTTAAATAAAAAGAATTAAAAATTAAAAAAAAGAATCCAGAAAGATTAAAAATTGAGAAAAGAAATTAAGAAAAAGAATCCAGTAAGATTTTCAGAGAGATGAAATTAAAAAATCAAAGCTTTGACTCAAAAAAATTTTATAAATAAAATTATATAAAATAAATCTTTTGAAATAAATAATAAATAAGAGATTAAAAACTGCATGTACTATATTCGAGAAAAGCATAGTCAAGCTCGAGACTGCTGGCAAACACAGTTTTCTAAGACACTAAATTTCTTATATACTTGATGCTTACTAGTAATATCATAAACAACGACAGCGACTGTGGAGTCTCTGATGTAACTAGGTATCAAAGAACGGAACCGTTCCTGTCCCGCTGTATCCCACAGCTGTAGTCTGACAGTTCTGTCCTCGAGATACATAGTTTTGCTTAGGAAGTCTATACCTATCGTAGCCTGCAACATATCGGTGTCACGATAAATATTAAAAATTATTCAATTAAAATACACATAAAATACGAACAAAAATGCAAATAAATCGAGTTCATTTTTGAAAATTAAAAGAAAAATTGTAAAATTCTATTTAGTGTCAAATATTTAAAATTAAGGATCATAACACAAATATTGATAAAATAATTCGCAAACAGGATACCATGTCAAGTATATGAATTTTCAAGAATATTAATTAATAATATAATATTTTAATTGATAATTAATTTTAGTTTTCCAATTAATAATCCAAATAACTAATATAATAATATATGATTAATTATTATATTGATCATATATTATAGAAATTGTTTATTAAAACATAATTAATAATCATATACATATTTCTATTTCTGTTCTCTTATATTTAATAATTACATACTAATATACTATAATCCGCAAAACGCAATGTAATTTATTGTAAAAATGCATAAATAATAGAAAAAATAAATTATTAGCGTCCTGCAAATTTCTTCGTCTCTTTCTATCCTTGTCGATCAGAAAAAGTCGATATCTCGATTCCCTACTGCCTCTCCTGCTAGCATTAGGTCTATTCGTTCTAACTGTACTTTCTTACATTTTCTGCATTTGAAATATTCATAGTTACGTACTCTCTTAAAAATGATATAAAAGGAAAACGAGCAAAATATTTAGAAAACGCAATTGATACAGAAACCCAAATTATCAACATAATAAATTACATTTGACAGTCATTTACATGAACGTATGCTTAAAATTAATTTGATATGCTGCATTCACAATAAGTTGGAAAGAAAAAAAAGCAGAATAAATCAAAATTAAGCATTTCTTAGGAGAGCAAATAATTAAAAGATTTGAATTGATAAATGATTATATTTATATAATTTTTACTATTATAACTTATATGATAAAAATCGAAGAAAAATTGAAAGCAAAAGAATACTCGCAATATTAATTGTGTAAAAAAATGCTTCCAAATAATAAATATTTAATAATAAATTTGATAATAAATTATAATAAATTCAATAGCACAGTATTCTTGGTTTTTCCTTCTTATTTAAAAAGAACTATATCTGAGAGATTCCTAGATAATATTGCATGACAGTTTATAGCCAAACATTATGGTCCTCATTTAATATAAAGTTTATCAGGATTGATAGCCGGTTTTATTATCAAAGTAACGCGAATAAATGACAAAACTTTAAACTTAATTATCAAAGAATTATCTCTCACATAAAAATTTATTTTTAGAAAAATTCAATATTATTGGAATAGAATTAAATTAAAATTCCAAAAAATTGGAATATAAATACAATTTTTTAAAAATTGATTAAAATTTAATTAAAAAAAATATAGATACGAAATAAAAATTTAACAAGTATTTGCATGAAAAATGGAACATATTGATGCATTTTCTCGTAAATTGAAAGCAAAATTTGTACATAAACAGAGTCTACAATTTTCCATATAAATTACATACAACATGCAATAAAAGAATTGAGGGAAATTATGCAGATTTAAAATACTTAACAAAATTTAAAAATTCAAAATTAAGGAGCCAATAAATAAATCGTTACATACCTGGTATGTGTTGTCAAAGCTGTCGTACATAAACCGTGTAATAAGTGACGTCTTCCCGACTGCAATAAAAAATTGCATGGCTCATTTATTCAATTGACATTTGCAATTTTAAATTCCCCTCAAACTTGCATCTCAAAATCCCACAGCTTTACGGCTTTATTTTAATTTTTCATTTCCAAGACTCTCGGGGGAAATTATCTTTCTATCATAAATTTGCATCTTTCTTGCATTACAACCCACCGATTAAATCTTTATTTTATTAACAAAATTAATACCTAAAATTCTTAGCTATAATAATAATAACGATAATAGCTGCCAGGAGAGCGTTCTCGAAAAGGAGTCTCGTCGAGAAGCGCTTTAATCCATACGGCAACATTGTAATATTGCCAGAATATTGCCACAATGTTACAACAATATTCTGTGCTGAAAAAATCCCCGAATTTAAATGCGCCTGTCGAGATGCGACCCAACGTGCATTTACTCGATGGAGCATTTAAGGATGTTTTGTATGTACAATCCCACCAAAAAGTAGCTGAAAATCAATATTGAATATATCCACTTTTGGTGTATTTTGAGAAATTAAGAAATTGTGAAATTAAGAAATATTAAATTTAGAAATTAAGAAATTGTGTGGAATATTTATTACAATTTGATCTTAGCAACAGTGCAGAGATGTATTTATTGCGTTTTTACTGAAATATTCCGAATTTTGTTAATCGAAATGATTAATTTTTGGCAGAAAATTTCGCCTTGTGACAGATACATGGCTAACTTGATTGAATTATATTTAATATCTTTTTAAACAGTTAGTACTTGTATAATATTATTTGACAAAATATTTCCTCTGTATCTAAACTTTTGCAAATTTTCAACAAATTCTGAATATTATTTCCATGTGTTTTTGTCATTTGAATTGACATGGTTAAACGTTTCCTATAAGAACACAAGTTAATTCAAAGTGCAAATTAAAATCCTTGTAAACGCTTTGAAGTGAATCGATTGTACTGAAGATTCTAAACATATGTAAGAACATTCTGTACAATTTTCAATATGTGAAATTCTCAATATTTTGAAAATAGGTACAAAACATCCTTAAATGTATCTAAAAACAATCGTATGGTAGGATAATAAATATTTAACCACGTTAATAAAAATAAAAAGATAATGCTTGAAAAAATCTTGAAAAAAATAATTTTTTTCAAAATTATATTAATATGGTTAAATAAAGGTTTTTTTTTATCTAATGTCCTATGAAACATTGTTGACATTTTGAATAATTTTCATGTGTAAAGTTTGAAAATCAAACGTTTCCCATAAGAACACAAGTTAATTCGGTGCAAATTAAAATCCTTGTAACTTGTGAACGCTTTAGTGAATCGATTGAAAAATTGTACCGAAGATTCTAAACATATGTAAAGACATTCTGTACAATTTTCATGAAATTCTCAATATTTTGAAAATAGGTGTAAAACGTCCTTAAATATATCCAACGATAAATAAACAATCTTGGTTGACAATATTTGATAATAAATATTTAACCACGTTAATAAAAATAAAAAAATAATGCTTGAAAAAATCTTGAAAAAAATAATTTTTTTCAAAATTTCATTAATATGATTAAATAAAGGTTTTTTTAATCTAATATCCTACGAAACATGTTTATGAAACATTGTTTGACATTTTGAATAATTTTGTATAAAATTGTATCCTTATAACTTGTGAACGCTTTAATGAAAATCGATTGAAAAATGTACTGAAGATTCTAAACATACGGTTGAAGGACATTCCGTACAATTTTCATGAAATTCTCAACATTTTCAAAATAGGTGCAAAACATCCTTAAAACGCTGAACGCGCGAGGTAAGCGAGATAAGGGTGAATTTAAAAGACGGCGACGCGTTATCGGCGGCGATGGAGAATATTGATCTATAACCTAGAAGGGCCATCGGGCGAAGGGTAGTCACCCCTCGATCGGGCCTGCTGGAACCGGGTCTCGCGTCCCACTTGGGGGGAGATCGATCCGTCTTCGGGGGAACAGCGCGAACACGCGAACAAACACACACTTGTCAGCGGCACCGATACTGGCACCGACACTCACCGCTCTGCTCGCCGAGAAAGACGAGCTTGAACTTCCGCAAGGGGTTGCCGAAATCGCCCGAGGACGACATGTTTCTCGTCTCTCTCACGTCTCTCGCTTCAAGCGGGTACTCTGACAGGCCTCAAGTGGCTTCCGGTAACGACGCAGGCAACGATAACGCGCTCAATGGCCGATTTGCCGAGTCATTTAAGCGATCAGCTGCGCCGGCCGATTCAACAGTCTTCTGGCTCTAGCTCTCTCTCTCGGGGTTCCACTCGGGCCCGACAGCTTGACAGCTCGCGACGCTAGCTTCGATGCCACTCCTTGCGGCCACGTTTAACCGGGAAGTGACGTAGCGACGACTGGAAAGCGAAGTGGAAAAAGCGGCGCCACCCATTTCCGAGAAGGGAAAGTGAGTTTGGTGGAACGAAAGTGTGGGTTTCCATGTGAGCCGAGTTCCTCTGGACGGACCAATTGAGAATCGTTTCCGAAGCCATAGACGTAATAATGTATAGATTTCGTGGTTGAAAAAAGTTACACGAATTTTAGAACGAGACAACATGCCTTATTATTCAAATATTATATTAAATATTATATAAGTTATTGAAATATATTACCCGATATTATATATTAATTATATTAATATTATATATATATATATATATATATATAATACAATATATATTATTTAATAAAAAATATTATATTAATATATATTGATTATATTAATAATATTATTAATTTATATTAATTATATTAATATTATATTATATTATATATTATATTATAATAATATATATTAATTATATTAATATTATTATTATATTAATATTATTATATGTTATCATTACATATTTAATATTATTATGTATTAATCACACATCATCCATCACTACCATCGTCACCGCCATTACTACGTAATTTAGTATAGTTTTTACCACAAAGATTCATCATTGAAAATAAATTATAACACAACAAATATTCTAGTTTATTTTTAAACATTAAATATTATAAATATTAATTTATTTAATATATACGTACAAGCGTTTTTTTTTATAGCACTCGTGTTATCGGTATTTCGTGCCCATTAGTACGGAAAGAGAGAGGACTGAGAGGTGTCATGGCCCGCTTTTAGGTGATCCCTGAAAGTGATACGCCCTCTGTTAATCTAAAAAACGTGGACATGAACTACAAAGCCAATGTCCACGAAAGTTCTCAGAGGGTAACATATAATGTGCACAATTTCTGGTTCTGTTCCGTGCTATGTGCACAAAATGGCGATAGCATCAGTGCTGTATAGCAAAGTGCTTACGTATATCAAATAAATTTTAATATAAATGAGAAATGATGAATTTGAATGTATATATGTATATATATATATATATATATATATATATATATAGAGAGAGAGAGAGAGAGAGAGAGAGAGAAATAATAAAATTTATTTATCATAGAAATATATTTAATATACATAAACACCTTACAGAATTCGTGTTACGGATATTTCGTGCACATAGCACGGAATATATATATATATAGTGTACGCGGGAGTTATGTGAGCAAGCGAGAAGATAATAAGAGGGAGCGAAATGACAGTAAGAGCGAGCGAGATAGGAATAGAACGAGCAAAGACTGGAAAATCGAGTCTTTCTTGCAGCCTGGCATACTATTTCTCTCTCGCTCGCTCCTATTACTCTCGCTTGCTTCTATTATTATCTCCCTCGCTCCCATTACTATCTCGCTCGCTTCTGTTATTATTTCATCTGTTATTATTTCTTACGTACTCATATACTGTCATGTTCATCTCGTTATCAAGTCTGCCGCTGGCAAGCGACCGATGACAAACTAATGAAAATTTTGCGATTAAAATAACATCAAACACAGTATCATCAATCGGATAAATGTAGTTAAATATATATAATTAAACTTTTTATTATTATATCAGACTAATTAAAAATTATCCGATTTACGTCGTGTTTGATATCATTTTAATCACAAAAATCTCAATAATTCATTAAAATTACTTTCATATCGATAAAATAAAAAATAAAAGTTTCTGTTTTTATTTTATAATCTCGTAAATTGCGAATGGATAGAGAAAGTGAAGAAACCGATTGTAAGAGACTTCGGAATTCTTTGATGATAGGTCATCTCGCTCGCTCTCGACTCGCTGTCGCTCTCGCACTTGATAGATCTCGCACTTGATTATCTCGTAAAGATAAGCGGACTCGGCTTCCTCGCAAATGTAAACATCTTATAAAATAAACTCTTATTTTTTATTTTATCCATTTGAAAGTAATTTTAATGAATTATTGAGATTCTTGCGATTAAAATGATATGAAACACGATGTAAATCGGATAATTTTTAATTGGTCTGATAATAAAAATTTTGATTATATATTTAACTATATTTATCCGATTGATATCGTGTTTGATGTTATTTTAATCGCAAAATTTTAATAAAAATTTTAATAAAAATTTTTATAAACTTTATAAACTTTAAAATATAATTAAAAAATCGCGTTATCACCACATTTAATAGAGAATTGAATGATTTTATCAAGATTTTTCTAATAATCGATGTAATAATAGAATTTAATAAGATTTATCTAGTGTAAACAATTGCGATTAAAACAGTCATTAATAAAGTTATCGATCGTTTTTTTAATTATAGAAAAAAATATTTATATTATTAGTGCATTTTACGCGGATTATTAAAGACAATGTTCAAAGACGTGGGAAGATAGACAAAGCTTCCATGTATAAGTCAACGATTAAAATACAAGATAATATTAAATTATAAGATAAATCGCGATTTAAAATTCCCGAGAAAACGCGACGAATAAATAAATCGATAATCAATTCCATTATCTATTAAAAAAGGCATGTTAAATCGATTCTCGTCCACTATTAAAAAAGGCATGTTAAATCAATTCTCGCATATATTGTTGCCGCTTTTCCGCGATGCTGATTGATTGTCTCGATTCTCTCTCATTATGAATATATATTCAGAGTATAAATCGGCTGTCGATTTATGTCGAATCGCAGGTAAACGTTTATATTAATAGGTTAATAGTGTGTTAGAAAAATATTTTTATTGTTGTATAATTATGCTATGCTATTATTATGCGATTAATAAGTTGCTATGTGAAAAAACAGAAAAAGTAGATTTTATAAGAAGTACACTTTAGAAGAAGAAATTATCTTACAATTAGTAGGAGCGATATGTCGAATCAAAAAGAATTTGAAAGAATGTATGAAGAAGTAGATAAATTATCTGAATTTGAACAATTATTAGATGGAAATGGAAGTTCTGTTTTCTATTCGAATGATTCGACCGTGTAAGTACTTGAATTTTATATAATTTTTTAAAATTAAAATTTAAAATATAAATTCTTATAACTTTTACATTATCGAATTGTTAATGATTCTTGTTAAAAGTTCGCGAGAGACGCGCAAGAGAAAAGTTGGGAAAGTTTTGATACAATCTCGAGTCGGCATTTCTCTATTTCTACATATCGCCATTTCTTCATTTTTCCACATCTGCATATCTGTATACTCATGTAAACATCGAAAGCATCCTTTCCTATATAAGTATGTCTATAAAAATTATCAAGTCAGCTATCGCGTAGATTGAAATATATATGATTGTTATATTATGATTGTTTCTCAAAACAGTTCAATTTAAAATAAAAATATAACTTCATTGCAGTCTCGAATTGACATTTCTCTATATCTGCATTTTTCCATTTCTCCATATCTCCATATCTGTATACTCATGTAAACATGATCGCATACATATTCTTTTATATATTTTCAACAAAATTATCAAGTCATTTATCGCATAAATCTTAATATATTATGATTGTTTCTCAAAACAGTTCAATTTAAAGTAATAATATAACTTCAATGCAGTCTCGAGTTGACATATCTCCACTTCTGCACATCTCCACATCTCCATTTCGCCATATCTCCATTTCTCCACATCTCCATTTCTCCAAATCTTTTCTCCATTTCTCCACATCTTGATATATTTATACTCATGTAAACATGGTCGCATGCATCTTTTCCTATATATTTTCATAAAAATTATCAAGTCATCTATCGCGTAGATCGAAATATATTATGATTGTTTCTCAAAACAGTACAATTTAAAGTAAAAATATAACTTCAAAATGCAGTCTCGAATTGGCATTTCCTTTTATTTGATAATTAGTGTAGTAACTGCAGTATAATTTTCAGCATATATATATGGAATACGCTGGAGCTCGGTAAATTCACGAGCACGGAATAAAAATGCGCATTCATGCGATCTTCGTTGTCGATGATCTCACTTAAAACTCTGTTATAAATATTATTAGCTCATCCACGTGTCGGTATGTTTATTATCATTGAGTCAACTGCGCATATCCTTGGTTGAGTCCATATTTACGCCCTGATGTGTTTTTTAATGAATTATTTCTTAAAGTTTTTAATCTACAATTATATAATGCTTATTTATAAATATAATTATTTTATACTTATTTTAAATCTATGTCTTGCATTTAATGAATGTTAATTAGTATATTTTGCAATCGTTATTTTGCATTGATAATGAACAAAAAATCTTGTTTTTTAATTGCATCATTCAGTATTAAATGACTTTTGTCATAAAATTTTTTGTACACTTTTAATATGCAAGGTAACGATTACGAAGTACACTAATCAATTCAATAGAGTACGTAGTTAATCGCGTGGGATAATTAGTGTAATAACTGCAGTATAATTTTCAGCATATACAGGGTGGGCCATTTTAAGTGATCCACTCAAATATTTCGAAAAATAATGAAAAATCAAAAAAATGTTTCAGATAAAAGTTGTATGGCTTGAAGGGGGCCATCAGATAGTGGCAATGATTTGACCTTGGAGAGTCATTTGAAGATGACGTAAAGGTAACCTTCAATTTTTTAAATGGAACTCCCTATTTTTTATTACATATTCGTGTAGCTTATCTCGAAGCTTTCCAAAACACTATAATAAAGTATTTCTTCATTGAGTACTTTTCGAGTTATGAGGCTTGAAATCATTTCTTAATTTTGTATAAACCGTAAAATATCTAGTAAAATATTCATTTTTCGATTATTTTGCTTTAATACTTTTATGTACAAAATAATGAGAGAAATCAATTGGTGTAAAAAAAACACATAGTTGTTTCAAAGAAAAAATATGTAATTGTTAATTGCAAATTACATATTTTTCTTACAAATAACTATGTGTTTTCTTTACACCAATTGATTCCTCTCATTATTTTGTACATAAAAGTATTAAAGCAAGATAATCGAAAAATGAATATTTTACTAGATATTTTACGGTTTATACAAAATTAAGAA